ATATATTATGCAAATTTCAGGTGCCATGATAATGGCAAAATTTACGGCAACAATAGGTTCTAAAAAAAGACTTCTCTAACAGAAACTTTCAAAGAAAGTGAAAGAAATAATTTACTTCCTAAAATCAATAGGGTGGTCAGAGTTATGCAGAGAAAGAGATGTTCATTATATTTAACTAATATATCAGAATTTTACCAATAATCAAGTTTGAAAAGTACTTAAAAATATATTCAGTTAAAGGAACATGTTTATCCATTTCATGATTCATTTATAATTAGAGAGATACCTTTACTAAAAAAGGGAAAAGTTATTAGGTTTTAAAATTGTTTTTGCCTTTTTTTTTTTTTTTTAATTGTAGAGGAAAGAAGAATGATGACATCCTGATCAGTCTAATGTAACACATATAGGTTACAATGACAAGACAGCTTGTTTCAGTCAGCCCATACCAAGCCCATGTGAAGTGAGGGCAGTGACTATTAATCATTTGTCAAAGACTGCAGGCCCTTATCAGCCAGTTATAGATACAAGGAACTTTATATCGCATCCACAAGTGGCAAAGCTCCAAAGGACTTAAACCACAGTACGGCAGGGACACTTTTTATAGATAAAACACAAATCTAGACAAAATGCTGGCCTGAATTGCATCATATTTCCACTTAGCAAATTTTAGTAAACACTTTATAATATTACTGGTTTTCCTTAAAATTTTAGGGAGCACTATACTCCTTAGTTTTAAAAGGTGGTTTTTTTTTATTCACAACAAAACCATTGCTGGAATCTAATTTAAGCACAAAAAAACCCACTGAAGAAGCAACTGACTTCTATGTAAAGAACAGATAAATCTAGCTTATTTTTACAACTTAGCCACTGGAATGGCTTGAGGATGGTCCTGAATCCTATCACTTTAGAGCAATAGTAACACCCACTTTTCACAGCAAAACCTATGGAGATAATAATCTCCATGGATGCAGGTCAGAGTGTCATGGAGAAGAACAAGGCTGGAAAGGGTAGATGGAAACCTGATAAAATGACATCTCATTGCTTCTTCAGATTCTTGCTGGCATTTTGGGACTGACAATCTATATATTCAGCTACAGATAGACTCTCAGTATCAGTAAAGAGGCTTAAGACTCCTGTCCTGTCCCCACATTGGGTCATGATCATCCATCAGGTGGGGAGAACTCCAGCACATAAGGCTGGATGGGTAGGGTACACTATATACTGATGCATACCCACACTGTCACATACCAGCCTGACCAGCTTCGAGCAGCACAGAGGAGATAGAGGTGGAGCTAACAAGGGAGTACAGTTCTATTTACTCCTGGTAATTTCGTGCAGTTAACCCTGACCAAGCCCACAGCAGAGGCACAGACAATACTTCAAGAGATCATTTTCACTGATTGATACACTAATTAACTTTTGCAGGTTCTGTCCACCCTTGGAAAAGCTGTCAGCCCCACATATATAGAGTAGCTTGGGGAAGCTGTTGATTTTAGAGCTGTTAACACATGAAACCCACCAGCCACTAATAGGGACAACAAATTTAACTTCAGTTTAACAATCATTTTCATTTGTGAATGAAAAACAGCTTGATCACTCATTCTTTAGTTTGAGACCGCTGATCAATAGAGTTTCTCATAAAATGATGCCTGTGTTTTATGTGCAGATCTTATATTCTTGGCTATAGTCCAAATCAGGCAGATATTTACTATCATCAAATCTCTGTGCCCACAATTCACTATGGGAATACTTTTTTTTTTTTTTAATCATGTAGACTTAAATGTCTGGGTAAAACCTAACTGAAAATTTGGCTGTGTACATTTTGTATGAAATGACTTAAGTAAAATGTACTTGTGAAACATTACCCAATGGAATGCTGAAATATTTGTGTCCTCCTTCAGAGCAGTTTCTGGGCAACAGCTGTTTGAACTTCAGAGGAACAAATTTTATTTGGTAACTTGAGAAGAGTCAAGTAGGATGCCAACAGAGGATCGGGTGAGGCAATGCTTATAAAGATATGCTTCAACTTATAAAAAAAAATAACCTCTCAAAGATAGAAAAATGAGCCTTTATCAGAAATAATTTTTCTAGAGAGCATCTGTAGAATTTCAGAAATTCTATTAATAAAATCAGGCTCAAGTGATCTTTTTCAAAGAGCAGCTCTACATTTTGCAGTTCAGTATCGTTGAAATTCCTCTAGAATACTTACTTTCTTTCAGCATTTCTTTTAATGAAACTTCCAAACTTTCTATGACACACAAATATTTTGAAAGACAAAAGTTTACTACATAGATGCAGGATACAAAGGAATTTACAGTCCCTGCACTGGAGGAAGAGGTAACAGATAGCCACAGCTTCCTATTTGGAGAGAAGAGAGCAATTCTGAGGTTCAGCTAGGACCATACAGCACATCAGTCAGTGGGAACTGCATAGCTATGGCTTGAAACACTGCACATCATCTTGCTCATCTGGTTCTGCAGCCTCTGCAGTCAGCCTGTCTCCTTTCATTAACTGGTTCTACGCCTCGCAAAGCAGCATGATGTGGAGGTGATTTGTATTGCAGCAGCAATATTCTTGGCAGACTATGACCTTTACCCAGTGGAACCAATGGAAAATTAGCCTAGCTGGGTCTTTTTATTGACTGCATTCTGTTATCTTCACAGGTGCTTTCTGTCCTGGGTTGTTCTTTCATTTTACTATGGACAGAAGCTACATTTACTGGACAATAGCCTCCACATCGCTTTCTTTCCATTTCCACAAAATATCAGTACTACATTTTTTAAAAGTTACTCGAGACCTCTCAAATTCTTTATCGCTCTTTACAATAAACTATTTGTTGTTTCAGTAAGTACATCATGTAACTGTATTCATGCCATGACACTTATACTCACTCACTTACACAGGATAGATCACTTTTTCAAATATTTTGTGTGTCCCTGTACATAGCTACAGTAGGCTTACAAAGATTCAGACATTTTCCAGTTGCTCATACATTACTTCTTAAAATTGGCTTTAAAAACAGTTTAGGAACTAAGGTATAGAATTACCATTAATTTTATCAGTCTCTCATTTAGGTACACACCCTCTGTGAAAAACATTAAAGAGTTTTCCATTATAAATGAAAGGTAATGATGTGAATAATGGTATTCAAGTCACATCTTCTCCAGTTTTTATATCATGATGTAAACTAACCCCATAATTTTGTCATCTTCTGTATTTACAGCCCAATAATGCTTTTCTGGCAGTTCACAAGGGCTACTGAATTTATGAGGCACTTGCAAGTCAGGTGTTTTACGAATACTTTGCCTCATTTCTCAAAAATGATTTCTAAAGAAATTTAAGTCTACTGTGTGTACTGGATTAAAATAGCTTAAGAACTAAGTCGTAATTTATACTGTTTTGTTTTAAATTTTATTATATGGAAATACAACTTTTCATTGTTGATCATATTAACTTGATATGATGAAATACTTTATTTTTACAGATAATGGTGTTTATTCTGTTTTTCGCTATATAAAATGTACCGAGTACCAAACTGACTTAGCACATGCATAAAAATAACTTAATAAAACTTGACTCAACCAACGTATGGACAAAAAGATGACAAACAATGTAGCTTGCACTAAAACATAGGGAATTCTAATGCCATCAAAATTATGAACCTGTTTCTGGAACAGAGAGTCCTCAATAAAATGTCAGTCACAATACTGATACCCGATATCTGTGGACTATCATCAAGTGTCTCCATCCACTTCATCCACTGTAACAATTATAAGGACAAAGATAGTTCCTTTGACAACCAGCACCCAAAGCAAAGAGGTTTTCTAGACTAACATAAGCACTTTGATTTACATGTGAAAGGAAACAGGAATCCAGGATTATATTTTAACTCCAGAAATATATTGTGTGCACTAGGAAACATATGGCTGCATGTTGCAATAACTGATGTATCTGGATGAAATTGCACAGCAAGTTTCATAGTGTTCACTTCATAAAATCAACCAAGAAGATAATAAAAATGTTGATGGCAAGTGAGACAAGTGACTGAAAACATCTGTGTGAGGAGAAATGCATATTATCCTGCACAACTGACTGGCAGTGCATTATCATAAAACATTTCAGATTGTTGATAAGAGATAAAGAAGTTGTATCTGAAATGTCCTCTCCTATCCCTCCCAACACACATACATTGTAAAGTTAAACCTTGGAAAAGCAAAATCCACATAAATCACACCAAGTCAAATTGAAACAGGACTACTTTTAAAAATAAGTACACCTCTTGTTCAGGCTGTTAAAAAATTGACAAAGTGATGTTGGGGTTTCACAGGTACAAGGCAGTTCTGAAACTGGACAACTGATTTTGATTGTCTCAATTTGATTATTTCTCCCTAGTCACCCTCTCCCCTTGTCCTCAAATCCCCATCTCACCTTATATTACAGTCACAAGGATTTTGTTGCTGATTCCAAACAAAACAGATCAAGCTAAAAACTTGACAGTCAGAATATGTTGTAGACAGGATCCCTTTGAACTATCCCACAGCATTGTTAATACCTTCTCCTGACTGGGCTATCTATTGAAGAAACCTGTCTACATAAGTAGCATTAAAATCTTTTGTAACAAATGGATTCCCTGACACCTACAGTCATGTACAGAATTCTAGTTCTAAGCCTTCAAAACAGAGACAGAGAAAGAAATGAGAGTGTACGTACGTCAGATAAGGATGATCTGCTGAATCACGCATCAAAGCAAGTGTAGGAGCAAGGCCTATATCAGTTACTTTAAATACACAGTGGTACATCCAAACCATGCAGAACTCAGGTCTGCATTCCAGGACAACACAGACATACTGCAGACAATGACTAAAATGAGCAATAGTAAAGCCCTCTGAGAGGAGGTTGCAATTGAAAAGAGATTTAAGATTAAATCAAAGAATGTCACATTTAATATTCAGAACACTCTAACTGAATCCTTGCTGCCTGAACTATAAATGGAATCTTACCGTGGGTTAGAATGAAAAAGTAAGCTCATTTCTTTCTGATAGTGATGCTCCTGACTGATGGGCTATGGAAAACAAAAAATAATAGTGAGCAAATAACTTTGCAAATATTCTTTCAGAATGTTTAGAAGCATGTAAGAGATCTTTTATGAGTGTACACATTTGCAGCTTCTGATATTAGAATTTTACAGTCTTTTTTCTTATCTGTGAAATTTCAAAGGGATATTCAGATCCTAGCTGTGCAAAAGTGAAACTTAACAGACGATTCTTGTCTCTGTGGAAATACCTATGAATTAAGAAGTTGACCACATAGTCATTTCTCTACTACCTGTGACAGTGTTGGGATAGAGTCAGGAAACTTCTGTGAAGGAAGGATGGCAAAGTCTTGTCTGATAGAAAAGTTTGGACTGTACATGTATAGGAAGCATGGTGCAGGGAGTGTCAGAAGGATCTGTGCAGAGCCAACCATTCCTAAGACTAGATAACACTGAGTCAGAGCTAAGAGGGCTGGCAGGCATGGTTCCTCTCCTCAGAGGCACCATTAACAGTAATCTTAGCAGTTCCAAATTGAAGTCTGCTGAAGCACATGTGCTTCTGTATGGCACTGTCAATTTGAAACCTGGGTTAAGCTCTTAATTAATAGCTAACAGTGGACTGTATGAATACTCAGAAATGATGACAATTTTCCACAGTCTTCAGATCTTACCTACCCATTGTAAGAAAGGGCCCCAAAGGCTTTAAACTACATTTGGTTTATGGCATTAAAAACAGCTATTTGCATGAAAGATCAATATTCATAAACTAGTATAAAAATTCAAGAATTTAAAATTCAGGAATACATTTTCTCTCGGTCTATATATAATGCTTCCAGAGGAGACCCCTGCTGCCATTATCACACACCTCAAAAGCAGTTCTAAGCAAATCACTGAAGCAAATGCAAAAGAAGTGAAAATGCAAGCATACATTAACAATACTTGTACAATTTAGTACAAGAAATGCTAAAAATAAATACTAAGCATTATGAAAGCAATTGCTTTTTTACAGAAATCAATATGAAAATGAGTATGTTATCATGGTTTCAGGAAGTGGGGAGGGATGTTGTAAAATATATGTTCAGTATGAATGACATTCTAATTACTGCCAAATATGAGTCACTGCCTGGTGGTGTATAGTGCAATTCCCAAATGATGGCTAGCGGAAGACTAAGGATGAGACAAAGTGAATTAGTCAGCCTATGAACCAGAATATCTGTCTAAATAATTTTTAGTCTCATTTCATAGTAAAGAATAGTCTGCCTCAGTTTTGCAATTTGACTTGATGTGAACAGATCCCTCCAGGGGTTGTCAAACTGAGCTCTCAGTTGGAATAATTCTGGGTTTAAATATCACTCCTCTTGTCTGTCAGACTTCAGTTCTGCCAGACCATTTTTGTGTTAAGTGGCTTTCTTTTTTGAAACATCACAAAGGAGGCCAGAAAACCTTCCACAAATTAGGTATGAACCTGGAAGTACTCTTTCCAATATTTTGCAGATCAAAGCTTATGTGACTGAATTTATATTTAGGAAGTTGCTTGGGGAAGCAGTAATCTCTCTTGTCTGTGAGTACTCCTCACTCAAAAGACAGGTCTTAGTGGTGAGAATATTTTGGAGTCTACTAAATGGAGCATTATACCACTACAAGCTTTTAGGATATATATCAATGAGCAACCTAGTAGAATCTTCCTTCTCCTTCGCATTTCTGACTGAGAATAAGGGACCATAAGCAATAAGATATCCTGAATTCTCTCATATAAGATCTTTCTCCAGAATGTTTATGTTCTATCTAAAGTGGTGTCTGAAATTTGGAAACGGCTATCCAAGAAGCTGAATGGGTCAATTCCCTGACAGGGAAGAAAGGTCTTACTGGATCTCTAGAAAAAAACCAAAGCATTTAATCAGAAATGTTTTGTAAGCTTTGCAAATTTTCTTAGATAATTTGTACATATGTGGGTATAAACTTCACATTATACTCTGCAATATATAGAACTGTGTCTTTCATATTGTTGCAAAGCTAATATGGAATTCCATAAATCTTAAGTTTTAAGAAAATACTCAGGTAAGACAAGGTTAAATAAAATATTTTAAAATATTTAATTTTACATACACATATTATTGATTTGGAACTGTGCCCCACACATATTTACAAGGGTTTACAATTCTCCTTCAAAGTAAATAAACTTTAAAATAGAACATTTTCATATTTATAACTGACAGCTATGCAGGGTAACATATACTATTCGAAGCTACTTTATTCCTTTTTGGCTGTCATAGTTTACAGCAGCTGCTAAACAACTCACATTTCAACGATTTCTCCTGACAGCATATATTCAGTTCTTGGTAAACTATTGTAAAATACAGTTTTAGTATATCTGTTTTATGGTTGTTTAAGAACATCTGTTCTAACTGCAACTTAGCAATATGATTGATCTGCATGCCTTTACATTCACAAGGGTTTCTCAGATTCATTAGAGTCAGGAACATGAGAATTTTCAATGAACCTGGAAATCAGACTAACAAAAGCAAGTGATGAAAAAATAAACTCACTAAAAATGTGGTTTATATATAAAATATTACTTTGATACATAAATTCACTATCTAACATTATATCCTGCCCTACCTTGCAAAACATCATAGGTATTTAAAAATGAAAGATACACAAAAAGCTGCCTTCTGGTGGTGCTGTTGCCATAGATTCCACTAAGGGACAAAAATGCTGTATAAAATGAACGAAAATTTGGAATGAAAATACTTCTTTCTTATCTTTGAAGAACATAAGAGAAAGCGATAGATACTACTGATTTAAATAATCAGAAAGATACAACCTGGAAACACATGTAAGCATGAAAGCTTAATCATGACAAGAATTTCAAGCTGTCCTTAATTTCTCAAACTACAATACAGGGATTTTTTCTATTTCTTTTCTATATGCTGCATTGCTAGAATCATTTGCCTATCCAACTGTAAGATGGCTACAGATACATATAAACTTTTTTGCAGTTTGTACATCTGATTTTGGAAGGATTGATCATTTGCAAATTCTCTTGACTCAAATGAGAGTGGTACTAAAGAACAGTGACACAAAAATATTTTTTTTACTCTACACTTTTTTTTTTTTAACATAACATATATAATGAATAAATATACATATGAGGAAAACCCCTTGGTAAAAACTGGAAGGTGAAGAAACAATGACTACTCATTTTATGTCTTACAGCAAGACCTAAAATGAAGACTGAAGTCCAGGAGGAGCAAGCTTTGAATATGCTCTGGTCTCTCCAGCTAGGCTGTAGTTTGATCTCTCAGTTATGTAGACTACCTACGCATACAGTAACACATTTACTGCACAAGTGAATGCTGGGTATGGGGATTCACTGAAAACAGCTGTATGAAATTATCTGATAGATTTATAGATTTGAAAGCCAGAGGGAAGAATTAGATCAACTCATGATCATCTATCTATCTATCTATCTATCTATCTATCTATCTATCTATCTATCTATCTATATATCACAGGCTATTAAACTGCAGATCACCAATAAAAGCCACTGAACATCAGATCTAGAACTGAATGAACCATGAAGTGGGTCCCTCTGAATATACTCTACTCGTAGATAATTCTCTGCTGACTGCTTTTGATATTTTCAGTTGACCAGTTCTAAATTCATTCAAGGTGTGCTTTATCAATATTGTATGCTGCTCATTTTAAAACAAATATGCACAATGCTCTTAGCTTGTTACATCTAAGCAGTTCCTTATCAATTGTAACTTTACCAGTAAAATTAGATATTTTGAACAGGACATATTTTCTATAAAACGATCTTGACTATAATTAACCATATTTCCATCCTTTAAATCTCTGTCAGAGAGATTCTGAATCCCACATCCCACACCAGATTTTTCACTGTTTTGACAATGATATCAGACTAACTGGCCTACATTAACTTTTTCATTTCAGCTATCCATTTGAATACTGGCACAGTATCACTACTCTCAAAGTCTTCTAAAATGTCACAAGCATATGAAAATATACTAAAATTTAACACCGGCGTACCAAAAATGCCCCAAAGGTGGAGGGAGAGGGCGGTGCTTTTGAAAGCTTCTGTGTTAAAACAACTTGAGGTGATTAAATAATCACCTTCTCTAATAAATGTGGTTTCTAACCTTCTTAGACACTAAAGATCTAGAAAAAGAATTATCACATTCATATGAACACTCTGATTTTTTTCCAAATATTGGAAAAGAATTACATCAATGGAAACACAAGTCCAAAAAAAATACTCCAAAAACTTGTACCACATCTATGAACAGCTGGTGCTGTGGTAGCTATCTCAGAAAAGAAAATATGAAGTGAATCAATAGATACTGTGGAGTAACCAACATTGTACTGGTACAGAGAGTCTCTTTGCATAAAGGCAGAGGTATACAGGTAAGGAGGACTGGGGAAGTTGAATTTCAGCAGTTTGTTGTATCAAGGGACTAAGTGGTTTATCCTTATCTGAGAAAGATTAGGTTTGCTTTCTAAATTACCTCTTCTGGAAATAAAGTTCTTGCCATTAAATCTTAAAACCTCAATGTCAACCTTGCAAAATGCAGAGGAGAAATCTGTCAAGGCTGTATGTGTAAGACACAGCAATACTTCAGTCAGTTGAATGAAATTTGAAAAACTTATCCTCAAAGACAAATATGTTGCATTTTACACTTGATTTATGTAGAGAAAGATGGCCACAAAGGACTATTATTAAAAATTACAACTATATTATATTACAATTTAAATAACTAACCTATTATATCTAAACACTTTTTTAGACTGATACTATTAGTCTGAAGCTACAGAAGCCAATCAAGGCAGTAAGATCCAAGAACTGCCTTTGCAATCATGTTGTGCTTCACTGAATTCTGGAGCAGTACATTTTACTTTAAAAGTTCATTTTGTTTTAGTCATGTAATTTGTATTAACCAAACCTGACGTGTCTAAATATTCTTATCAATTTCCTTATAATTAAACTACTAAAAAATTAATGAGACTGCTATTCTCTTTATTTGAGTTCTATTTGTCCAGTCTTGCAGTTTTACACCATGTTTGAGCCTATTTAGTGAGTACTGAGAAAATGCTTCAGAAATATGATGAAATCAATTAAATGTGTAATGTTGACATAGCTTAAATAGTTAAAACTAATAGTTCTCTGATATCCTGCAAAATATTACTGTGCAAACCAAATTCTTATTTGTACAATTACCCACTTATCAAGAAATCTCTCTTCATTTGAAACCTTCATTTACCAGTGTACCAAAAAGTTCCAGTGCTGTGTTGATCATTCACCATGAAAAATGGCTACTACAGGCCTCTATTTGGGTCCTGTAGATCCTGGAGGTAATTTGCCCCTAATATTTTAGAGCATTTACCCTACAACAGCTTATATTGGGGCAACACAGCAGTGTTTACTCTTTAACATTGGATCTGCCTCTGAGAGTTGTGTGGTGTGCTTTACTTATGCCACATTCATTGTTTATTATTGTTTCACCTCTAATAAAATAAGAGCTGTGTTGCTGAGATATAAATAGAGTATGAGGTTATCCAGTTTTACAGCAGCTCCTGAAAGTACCTTTATACAGTTGCAGAAATGTTATTCTGTGATTTCATACATTCAATACTCTTCGGTGGACTGCAACAAATACTCTGCTTCTTATAAAAGTATTGTCGCACAGTGCAGCTGTGTGTGATTTCATACCACTTTGTACCAGGACAAATAATGATACAAAGGATAAAATAAGAGAAGGATCACATACTAAGTGTTCAGAACTACTGCAGATTTTTGCTGCTGTTCTCCTGCTTCAGTCCTTTAAATGGTTAGCTTTTCAGTAATGAGACTATCATTGTAAGAAGCAATTATTTTCCATTACTCACACTGTAATGCAGTTGCTGACTGCTATATCTGGTTTTCATTCATTTTGGAACTATTTTTAAGTACTATATCACACACCTGCAGGTTGTCAGCCACTATTGTGACAAGCCGTACAGCCTACATGATTATTCAGGATTCTAGGAAGGAATATATATAATAGATTTGCTCTCTGTCTACGTTGATACTAGAGAACCTGCTGGAAGTGCATGCATTTTGGTTGCATATTTTACTTGGTAAGTTCTAAAAAGCATTTAGTAATGATACCTTAAATTTCAAAGCTACTAAAAAAATGTCAATATTCAAGACCTGGAGTATCAGAAATGATAGAAGCTATATAGAGAAAACACCGTAGGTTTAGACTTACTGGTGGGAAACAAGAGTTCCAGGTTGCTGTACCATCACTGCTTGTACTTAAGCTAACATTATAGTTGTCTATCTGTGATGCACTCAGCCCATGTGAGATCACAGAATCCCTTAATTCTTCATTTTGTTGTCTCTTCATGCTAGCCAGCATCTCTAGTTCAGTTGAACTCAGTTTATTTGTCTGGTAGTTTTTCCAGTCATAATCCTGTGAAGTAAAATGGAAAAGTCAACAATATAGACAGGATCATGGAACACAATATCTGAATGAAACAGATACTTTGGAGAATCGCTTGGGGAATCTTCAAGAAGCTAGAACACTAAAAGAGAAACAAAATATTTACTAGATTAAAGATTAGTTAACAGATTTCTGTTCAGCTATGAAGATCAAGCATATTTACACATAAATACATGAAGGAAGAAGAACATAAACACTGTTATGGACTGCTGTTTGGATCCAGGGTGTTTGGTGAAGTTTCTGTTCCACTGCAATTAAGAACAGAAGATAAAAGAAGGCTTTCAGAAGTTCAGAAATCCAGCAGCTAAAATTGCTTAAGCATTAAAGGCAAATCTTGAAATAAACTCAATCACACAGTTATCATAGTATCATAAACACCGTCAACATAACATTTAGTTGTTTGTCAAGCACAGCATAAAATTTCCCTGGAAAGCTACACGTTAGCACTAAAGTTATTTTGGTTACTTGGTAGCATATATGTTTTAAAATAAACATCACTATATTTTCATTTGTCTTTATACTTACTGGTTGAATCGTTAATGTAACTCTAATAGCTATATCAAACTTGATCCACAGGCCAAAAGCTAAAAACATGTACTAACTATTTTGTAATTTGCACTTATGCCTCACAAAAGCACTCATGATAAGATTAAGTTCACCCAACCTGCAGTGGTATCATCTTTGTGTAAAGAACTCCTTCTTAAAGGAAAACTTTCCCTTTTTTAAAGGGTCCACACGGATTGTTGTTTCACAAAGTAACAGGTCTAATACTCAAGGTCTCTAGTTTTGGTTCTGAATGGAATTACAAAGCATTTCATTACTAGGAAGAAATTCTTTCCTGTGAGGGTGGTGAGACACTGGCCCAGGTTGCCCAGAGAGACTGTGGCTGCTCCTCCCTGAAAGTTTCAAGGCCAGGTTAGATGAGGCTTTGAGCAACCTGGTCTAGTGGAAGGTGTCCCTGCTGATGGCAGGGGGGTTGGAACTGGATGAGCTTTAAAGTCCCTTCCAACCCAAACCATTCTATGATTCTGTGATTCAGTTATTCAGCTCCACAGAGGTATGATGTATACAGCCCACAAAAGACGTTATAAATTGGATATTGATTTCTTTATTTTAAGAAACCATGCAAAAAGATATGTGTATATTCTAGATTTTAATGTATATTGCTTAGTATTATGCATGCAAAGTACTCACTTTCACTAGAAAGACTGTATGACAACACAGCTGAAAAAGGAGGTTATTTTCAGTGACACAGTATTTTTTTCTGTTTTAGGGAGTTCCGTATACCTTAATAAAAATGTATTTTCTGGGAATCAGAAAAACATTATTGTCCATCAGATCCTCTTTCCTGCCAGCTTTTTTTGTCCTTGGGATCAGAGCAAAGGCAGATAATGAAGGATACTACATCACTTATTTCCTCTCCAAAAGTTTAACTGAGGATACGCTCATAGATTCATTCAGAGTGTTGAACTCCGCGTGTAAGATGTGCAATACAATGCACACTGGAAGGGAATTCTGGATCAAGGACAGACGGAGAAAACTCCCTTTTTAATAATACATGTAAATGGCATCACACGATGAACAGAACCTTGATTTCAGCTCAAGCTCTAGGATATTTCACTAGTTTTAGAAGAAAAACATGTAGCACATTTTTATTTCCTGATGGCTGCCATAAAAGAAATCAACAGTTATTATAACAATAGTATGTAAAATAATACCTACTATTTTAATTCTAGTTAAGAAATTAAGTACTATTCAGTAAAGATTGCTGCCCAACATTAATTTTTTGGGAGCAGCAACTCTATCATACCTTTTTGATGTTTCATTCTGACTACCATGACATTAGATTTCACTCAAAGCCATCTATTGCAAATAACCAGGCAAAAAGAAAACTAGTACTGAAATAACAAAGTAAACCACCTCTGATGGGAAACGTGCCTGCAAGCTGACAATCTGCAGGTAAATATATAATGTAAAACAGGGTTTATGACTGAAGTGCACTCACATGGAAACAATTGCATGTGCAAGTATGCAAATTTTTGTGAAAAACACAATTCTAAAGGCTATTGCAAACATTTTTGACTTTTTTACTATATATCTCAAATTCTTAACTCAAATGTCTTTGCAAAGATTTTTTCTATGGAATCACCTCAAGCACTCAGAAGCTACTTTTTGGCACAGATAAATTTAGTCTGCCATTTTGTACAAGGTATAAAAAGATGACAGAAGCTGTTAGCATAGCTGCCGCTCTTTTTTTACCTCTGGCTTTTGAGGTCCAAGATTCACTCCTGAATAGCATGATCATTACAACCATTTTTAATCCTGAAATAATACGTGATGTTTTCGCTAGACCCTTGCTGAATGCAAGTTATAAGCTCAGTTACTATTAGTTATTTGTTCATTTCATATGAAGCTTGCTATGTCACATCTGGAAAGTCTGCTTTGCTCTGATGTATTAGTAGTCTATCAGATCTACAGCTGCTATAACTTTTATTGATCTTACTGAAGATGCTGATTTCCTGTTAATTTTCCTATATAGAAGCCTCCTGCATTTATGTGGTTATTATAAGAGAAGGTTTGGCTTATCTTTCTTACCTCATATACAAAGCAATTGGTATGCAGTCATTAAAATGACAGCATGAACTAGTGCTATGCAGAATAGAAGCACTAAGCATTGAAAGAATATTTTTCTCATTCTCTTTTTAATAAAGGTAAAACGTTGCCCAACCCTGCTTTTATTTTCCTTTACATCTATGAAGAAAGATGCATAGATTTTTGGAATTTTTACAAAACAACTCAAAACTTTTTTTTAAACCATCTTATTTAAAATTGTCATTGTACTTTCTTTTCTTGTAATGGTCTCACTCTAGAAATATGGTACTCAGAAAGGAGAATAGATGTCATGAAAACTTTCTGTGTTAAACATCCTGTACAATAAACTCCTCATAATAAAGGAGAAATAGTTTGGACTATTTATTCTGTAGCTTCAGATGACTACGACAAAAAAGCCTCTTCAGAAATTTTATATTGTCTTATCCAATTTTCAAAGAGAGAAATTGTAAACTGAACTTGACATTAAGTTCACTTTGTAATTTAGGAAAAACTTTTGATGTAAGAAGTAATTTTCAATACTCATAAATTTGTCTAAAATTAGTATTTCATTTAATAATTAAAAGCTTATCTTGTCTTTTTGAATATCCTCCCCTTATGATAAAGTATTTTTATTAAGCGCTTAAAACTTTTGCTAGATTGACGAAACCTGTTGTTTAAAGGATTTCTTTTTTAAAAATAATGACATTTGCGTTCTTCTAGGTTCAAATGATTTATTCAGAACTGTTTGAATGTAGTTATACGCGCGGAAAACTTTAATTACCAGCTATCTACATGCCTACAATATTACCCAGAGGGCCGTACTTCTTTCTTAATTAAAAATATTTGAATTTAATAACAGAGAACTCTATTAAAACATGAATAAAACATTGCAAGCAACTAGGTCCTTAAAGTGTATTAAGCAGTTAGCAAATTGATTACAGGAAGAGTTGGTTAAATATTTTTTTTCTTTACCAGTCCTCCACATGAGCAGATTAGAAGAGACTACTTCTCTGTACACTCTCACTCTAATACCCTTTCATACAAAACTATTCTTTCATACATAATTCTTAAAACAATGAATAGTGTTTCAAAATGGAAATAAAATAATGACCTGCCCACAGCCACCAAAAGCCCTCCAGTGCTGTCTCACTAGTTTTTCAGGGCTGTCAGACAGACTATGAAGTACCTAGGTTAACATTCTGTCTACGGTCACTCAATGTATCAATTCAAAGTCTGTCATTTTTTCTTTGTAATCATTCAGCCTAACACTACTTTCTAACTCACATATTTCCAAAATGTGAGTTGCTCAATGACACCTTGTTTTATCTGTAAAACTCTGTGCTTTGTTTTATTTGAGTACTATTTTGTGTGCCACAAAAAACTACAAAATCAACTTTCAACACACTGAACTCAGTAAATACTGTTATGATGAAACCAGAATATATCTAGATGAAAGACGTATTATTTCTCACTTCATGCAAATGAATATATCTAATATAGCTTCTCTATACAATCTAATAATTTAATTTCAAAGTAAAAATTACTTACACAAGTCTGTGTTGTCAGACATGAAGTTTCTCTTGAGATTTTATTCAGAGACTTTTTACTGATGGACCTTTTTAATTGACTGGAAACTTCAGATCTTTCACTTTTTTCAGATCCATTTGGAATTACTTTAAAGGATTCAGATTTACTTCTAGTTGGAGAAAGAGAAAGGGGAGGCTGTAAGCTTATTTGAGAGCTAACAGAATCTGTTTTTCTCACAGTGGAATTCTGTGCTTTTGGTAAGATGGTCTCTTCGAGGTTATGTTTGCTGTGTCCCTTATTCTTCCAGTATTCATCTGTCCATGACGCCCTCTTTGATGGGATCTCTTTAAAAACTGCTGAATCAGATGTTCCTTGCCTGCTGTGGTTGATCTCAAGGTTCTCAGTACCCTGGATGAGTTCATTGTTGTCATCCTAAATTTAGGAAACAAAGCAAGAGCAATTCCCTCTCATCATCAGACAATCCAGTTTTACATAACCTAAAATTTAAAAATGGCTCTTTAATTTCTCCAGTCTAATTCTAAATTTGCAAGGATCCTGAAAACCAGCTGCTCTTCCTAGCAACTACATTTAGTATACCATAAACATATTCTTACATCTCAATTAGAGAAAAGTAGAAAGAGGAGGAGAGGGAGGAAAGATTACACTTTTCAAAATGTCAGTTCAAATTTAGAATGCTGGTAACTCTCCAAACCTTTGTGTTACACAATAATAATGATTTCAATGAAATTTATTACAACTGTAAAGCAAAAGTAAGTAAAAAGTCCATCACAATTATGTCTTTCCATTGAATTGTTAATATTAATATTCCAAATTTTCACATCGCATCTTCAACTTAAATGCAGAAGAAATAAC